TCTTCCTGCCAGCGCTGCCGGGCTGCAGCGACAGGTGGGGGGCCCCCACCCCCTCACGCTGCTCCTCCCCCACCTCTCTCCTCTCCACCCACCCCGTCCCTGCCCGGAGGGAAGAGCAACGCCCAGGGCTCCAGCCTGGCTTGGGGAAAGCCGACCCACGTCTATAGCTCCCGGCTATAGACATTTGATCTATAGACGTGGACTCTCCTTCCAGTCGCAGGGTACCCTGGGGAAGAAGGTTTTCAGCTGCTCTCATCTGGATTCCTTCCTCAGAAACACAGCCAGCGCGCCAGGTTGCCCGGCTTCAAGCAGGTAGGTGCAGGGAGTGTGACGTAAGTGTGAAAACTCGCTAAGGTGGAGGTGTGTGGCTTCTTCCTGCCCGGCACACCAGCACTCGCTGGCGCTGCTCCCGGTCTGCCCATGGTTGTGTGTGGTGAGGCAGGGCCAAGGAGTAGAGTTGGGGAGCCGTGAGGAAGGGATGTGCCTTCCCCCTTCCCCCCAGCAGGTCTGGGAAGGCGGTACCAGCTCCAGGTGGGAGAACATGGCTTCTCTACAGGCCTCTCCCTGGGACCACAGGCCCTGAGCCAGCTGCCTTTTTTTTTTTTTTTCTTTTACAGTTTTGGAGGCTACTCCCTGGGGAGAGGTTGTGAGCTTTTCAGTCCTAATCTTAATCTCCTGTATACTTGAAAAGCCCTTTCTAAGCTTCCCTGATTCCTCTCTTCCCCAGGCCAGTGTCAGAGCAGCTCCGGGAGGAAGATGCTGCACCCTGCTTAACCTTTCTCTCCATTATTATTTTTTCTCTTTAGAAAAACTTACACGTATGAGTGTTTTACTTGCATGTGTGTCTGCTAACCACAGGGGCCAGATAAAGGGCATCAGATTCCCTGCAGCTGGAGATACAAATGGTTGTGGGCTGCCTTGAGGGTGCTAGGAATTGATCCTGGGTCCTCTGAAAGAACAGCCAGTGCTCTAACCACTGAGCAACCTCTCCAGCCCCTCAATCATCTTTTTGTTTTCTTGGGGGGGTTGTTATTACTTTGAGACAAGGTTTTGATATGTAGCCCGGGCTAGCTTGCAACTGACAATCTCTCTGCCTCAGTCTCCCGAGTGCCACGATTTCAAGAATGTACCACCCTGTCCTCCCTGTCTCCTGTTACCCCATCTAGAAAGAGCTTCTCTGGACTCTCACGGTTGCTGTGCCCGCTAAGGGTGAGGCACTTCCGTTCGGCAGAGCCCAGCCCCTTAAATGGGCTCTGTGGGCCCTGCCCTCTGGCGCAGCCCGAGGGGACTGAGGCAGGGGCACCTCAGAGTCTGACCATTCAGGATCCCGGTCAGTCTCCCTGGCTTCATAGCTTAAGCAAGTCACCTTGTTTAGGTTTATCTACGTTCCGGGCACCGTATGACTGCCTCACAGTCTGCTGGCCAGGGCGTGGGGTGCAGACTGTAATCCCAGCATCCAGGAGGCTGAGGCAGGTGGAGCCAGGCATCCAGACCCAGCCTGGGCTACACAGTGAGAGCTTTTTCTCCAACTGGACCCTCTGAAAGGGTCCACAGCCTCCCAGGAGTAGTGTAGACAGTTGGTAGACGAGGGCTCCACTCGTCATCCCTCAACTCTGGGGACACTGAAGGCCTCGTCTCACCCATCCATCTAGGCATGAGGTCCGTTGCCCTGTTTCTGTCAGCTGATCATGCATGGTGATGTAGCCCCATACCACTGGGTCCTTTGTAAGTATAGCCAAACCTCAGCCAGGCACCTCCATTCACAAATAGAGGCCTTGGCCTCTGAAGGGCCTTGACCTCCTTTTGTTCTTTTTATTTTATTTTTTAAGAATTGGACACAAGTCTCACTATATAGGCTGGCTTCAAATCCATGATTCTCCTGCCTCAGTACTTGGGTGCTGGGATTACAAGTGTGTGCCATCATGCTCGGCCTTCAGCCTTTTCCTATAGTCTCAGTTTCTTTTTCTTTTTTAACCTGTCTGTCTATCTGTCTATATCTATCTATCTATCTATCTATCTATCTATCTATCTATCTATCTAT